CGGCGTCCGCGGAGGCGTAATGTCGCCTACGGAATTCCGCTTTTGCGGAATCTCGCCCGCCGAATGGCCCAGTGTGCGGCCGCCTTTAGTCCGCTATACCTAAACCTTCCATAATCATTTCTGAGCCGCACCGTAAAAGAATTAAGCCGCGCTAGCACAGGGCTGACCGGCGCTATTTAAGTTTTTGTCCGGTGCGGTCAGGTGTCGCGGTGGGCGGCGGGCGGGCGGATTGCTCCCACCGCGGATTGCAATTTCGACAAACGTTTGACTTTGACCTGCTGTAAATGGGTCAAATATTAATCAAATGTAGGTCAATTGGGGGGGGGGGATACCAGGTGGCCTATTTTTCGCAAATACTCGTTGTAATAGCAAACCCTACCACGGATGACATCATTCATGACCATCCTGGACTACCTTGGTACAAATTTTGATATGTAACAGCCTGAGGTCATGTGACGTCATCAAAGGTCACCAAAATGTTTTTGCCAATAGTATCGCATATAAAAGAGCTACAGCAGCGCGCATGGTCTCATTTTGTTCAGCTCATCAAGACGCATCGAATGCTTTGCGTATTGACCTTAAGGTCACGTTAAGGTTATGTGACCTGAGGTCAATTGCTGACCTTGACCCTAATAGATCATCATAAGCATATTTCGATGCGTATCAATGAGAGGATCTCGATGGTACTGCTATTTTTGCTGTGGCACGGTTTTCAAAGATTATTGGCAAAAAAAAACTCCTGTTCCTCAAGTGCCGCTAGTTTGACTTTTTACCCCTGTGACGTCATTTATGACCTGACATAAAAATGACCGTTGTCAAAATTGTAGATCTCGTCCGTTTGTATTTAATGCCGTTTAATGCTTAACTCTAGCTTGCTTCGTTTTGGAGATGTTTGGGGGAGGGTGGATATCCCCTACGGGGGTAGGGGATATCCACCCTCCCCCCAAACATCTCCAAAACGAAGCAGCTAGAGTCCCCCTTCCGTCGGTACGAAGGTGGCCCAGACCCCCGAGGGTGCGCGGGTCTAACGTTATTACTGCTAGAGCAAGCCGCTGAGATTGGTGATCTGAGAGGCCCTCCTATCAATACTTGCCAAAGGAGGCCCCTGAGACTGATGGTGGCTAGAATAGGCCTCCGAGACTGATGGTCTGAGAGGCCCTTCTATTCAAACTAGGCAGAGGAGGCGCCTGAGAATAATAGCCCGAAGAGCCATGTGGCGACAACCGGCCGTTGAAAAAAACTCGGGCCATAGTTCGGCTTGTTAGGGCCCCACAGAGCTCATGAGAGCACCTCAAGGGCTCCTAAGTAGGCACGCTTATCTCCATAAGGGTGTCACGCCGGCTTCTGAAGGCTCCTTGTAGGCATCTAAGGGCCCTTCCGGCCTCTAACGTCTCCACCCGCCCGTGATGGCTCCACACCAGTGTTTATGAGCGCCACACACCGGCGCCTTTGAGGGTCATACCAGTGTCTCTTAAGGTCCTATATGGGTTGCTCTGGGGGCCCCACACCGGCGCCTCTATGGGCCACACACCTATGCATCTCAAGGCTCTATAGGTGCATCAGAAGGACCCACACCGACACCTCTGAGGGCCCCACACCAGTATCTCTGAGCTCTGAAGGCCCCACACCGGTGACTCTGAGGACTCACCGGCGCCTGAGAGCACCATGTTGATGTTTAACGGCTTCAAAGGCCACTGAAGGCACCACACAAGCTCTCACTCACTGAGCTTTTATGTCCCATACCGGCATCCCTGAGGGTCCACATCTGTCGGGCACCCATCGGCGACTCTGAAGGTCCCACAATGACACTGTCGACTCCGAGGGCCCCACCTGCGTCTGAGAGCATCATGCGGTCTCTAAGAACCACACAGGGCTTCTGAAGGCGCCTGGCAAGCTCTATCGCTTTAGCTCTGATAAGTCTCATGCCGCCCTCTGCATATAAGAGTCCAACGCCGGCGCTTGGGTGATAAGGGCGCCTACATGCGAAAGAGAGTTGATAATTGATATGAATTCATAGGAAAAGGGGCGCCCGCCTGTATGCAAGAGAAGGGCGCCTGCCAGGGTCGTCGCCATGGATTTTTGACTGGGGGGGGGGGAAGGGACATATCGGCAGACTTAAAACCCAAAAGTAGGTATTGTCGCCGCATTCTTAGCCCAATACACTATCTGTGTTAAAGGTCGTACAAGCCGGATTTTTTACAGTACACATCTGAAGTCCGATTCAATTTGACACAATTAGGGGCAAAGCCGCTGCTCTTCTTTTAGGGTGTACCAATTGTTGACGCCTGCCACCAATCTGAATCTGATACATAATGCATTCATGCCCGTGTAGGAGGAGGGGAGATATTACAGCCACAATCTCTCTTTTTGACTGCTGTAGGAATCGGCGGCGCGAAGCGTCGCGAAAAATGGCAAAAACATTTGTCAAAATACAGCCCCAAAACACAGACTTTGCAAGCCTTGTAGCATGTGTCGGGATTTCGTATAAATGTTACGGGTCATATGCTTACTTGGGCAGTATGCAAACTACCCGGGCAGTATGCAAACTACCCAACAGCCCGGGCAGTATGCATACCGCCCGGGTAGTATGCATACTACCCGACCCCTTGGGCAGTATGCATACCGCCCGGGCAGTTTGCATACTGCCCGGGTAGTATGCATACTACCCACCTTTCATCTCACGGGCAAGATGTTTACTCGGGCAATATGCTGACCGTGGCTCGTGAGACTATGTTAAAGGGACCCTCCCACCTTTAAAAAAGTTTATGAATTGGCATGAAAGTGATGTCGCTCGGTTCAGAAAGAGCGAAAACGAATATCTACCAAATTTCACCGAAAAATATTCACCGGTTTTCAAGATATTAGACTTTTACTTTTGTTTACTTTTTGGGATCTCCGCTGTTCCTAGCGACTTTATTTAAAAGTGCGGCATTTGTTGCGCGCAACGCAGCATATACCACCGCGTGCTACAAAACGTTTTAGTCAAACATTTAACGGACGTTCGAAAGCCTGATGACGTCATCAGATTTAAGTGCCTATACCAATACATTGTGGCACTTATTTGCACAGATGTCAAAATCAAACTCAAATTTCTTTGCGATGAAGTAATTGCTGGAGAAACGGTTTTCACGGCACTGATTTTCAAAGAACGTCCATCAAGATGGCTATCTCAACTCAAATCTAATGTTAAGGTGGGACAGTCCCTTTAATGCAATAGCTCGCATACATGTCTATGACAGACGCTTTAACCCGCGCTGGGGCGGTGCTCGGCGCCAGCCGTGCCGGGCTGGGGGGGGGGGGATTGAACACCCCTGCTCGACTCCCGTGCCAATTAGCGGCACAGGAGTAAGCGGCATGTAAGATGCGGTAACCGGCATTTGAAATAGTGTCAAAAATCATGACGAAAGTACTCCTGTTATTTTTAGGTCTGGTCGAAGAATAGGGCACCAGAGGTCATTAAAAGTCAAATTTCGCCTTTTTTTACAAATTCGCCCAAAACTCGGCGTATTCGCATAGCTCTTTTAGCGGTTTCTGGAATAAGCACTCAAAGTTGATCCAAGTTCAAAATTTGACCTGAGGTCAAGGTCATGACCTGACATGAAAAGGTCATATTGTTTATCAGCCGGTCCTTATCGTCGACCTGAACACATCTAAGGTTGTTCATCGCTCCAACACGTCTCCATAAAAATTATCGTCAAAGAACTGCTGCCTGCTGGAGATATTTTATGACCTGATATGACCTTATGGTCATAAAAAGGGGTCACAGGTGCAGTTTCCCGATCCAGTGTGTCATGTTTACCTGTAACATGATGTTTGAGAGTGTTTAGAAAGACGTTCATCCAAAAGGGCGTCCTTCAGCTTTCTCCTGTCAACTTCTAAGGGAGCCTATGCAAAATTGACATGACCTAAGGTCATTTGTACGATATTGAAATTCCAATACATGCATTCTGTACCTAATTTTACTCTTATTAATCGCTAAAAGTTTCAAAGCGATCGTTCAGTCGGTGTAGCTATGGCGAGCATTCTAACTTTTTCTGAGGTAAGGTCACTTGACCTGACCTGATAACCTGATCATAACAATTTGTAACGTCTTACATGCAGGGCATATTTTAACAAATTTTTACTGCGTCCCAAAGTTGAGCAGAGGGCACGTGCTACGACTAAGGGCACAGGGCAAGGAACAGAGTAGGGCACTGAGGAGGGCAGAAAGTAGGGCACGGCAGGTTGCAGGGCATGGCACAGGACATTTTAGAGGGAAGGCCGGGTACAGGTCAGGGCAGACAGCAGGGCACAGGTCAGGGAACCGGACAGGGCAGGGACGCAGTGGGTCAAATTAGCAGGGGCTACGTCCCAAGGCGAGGGGGCTGCGTCCCAAAATGGGACGCAGTAAGTGCCTTAAAATATGCCCTGCTTACATGTAAATGATTTCATGTAACATTTGCTATTGAAACTGTTATAACGCCCTCTACAGGTCCAGGTGCCAAACCAAGGTCAGCGAGTGATGACACTATACATCTGTCATTTCAGATGAAAATGACGTGTTGGCCGCTGGATGATTAACAATGAAGTTCTGGCAAAATAATTTTAAGTCTTTACATTTCAATCCTTCTTCCACCCTTCAATCGATAAATGACGTTTGACGGCAAAAGGACTTCGCGGTTGAACTACGCTACTTAGAGAGCCATTAATATTTTGAAAATGGACATGGAATACACAACTTCAAGACAAAAACATGCATACTTGGGCAGTATGCAAACTGCCCAAGCTTTTGGGCGGTATGCATACTGCCCAAGGGGTCGAGTAGTATGCATACTACCCGGGTGGTATGCATACTGCCCGGGCTGTTGGGTAGTTTGCATACTGCCCGGGTAGTTTGCATACTGCCCAAGTTAGCATATGACCCGTAACATAAATATGTATCCGCGTGGTGACCGGCCGCCGCGCCGCCGCCGCCCCCGTCCGGTGCTGCCGCCTGGCGGCGGGCCGGCGAGCGACCCAGCCCAGAGCTCTGTTCGCACCCCGTTTATTTATCAGCAGACTTATGACGTCGGCGGTCGATTTACGTCACGGGACATGACGTCATCACTGCAAGCTACGTGCTACGTGAAAGAGACATATATGATGCTGTACTGACATTGGTGGCGCACATCAACAAATGCTCCCCTGCGCTGTTTTGTGTGTTTATTGTTTCACATAGGTATGTTGTGATTATATTCGGTTTTGAAAATTGATTTTTTGTGTTATTTAATTTATATGCTGTTTATTTGTTCAGCCATAGGTGACAGGCATAGAACGTTCATTTTCTGTTTGTAAACGATTTTACCTGCGTTTTGGAGTACCTCAACCTACTTCATAGAAGAGCATTTATATTTAGTGTTTGATTGTGTCAGAATATGTGTGCTAAAATGCAATATTTTGCTTCATTAGATTTGCTGTCCCCTGAAGTTTGTAAGGATTCAGGTACCTTCTAAAATACTTTGCCACTCAATATTGTCATTTTATTTCCCAATTTATGTTCACAAGTATTTATTATAAGTAGGTACGGTGTGGTCATACTTTTGCTGTTTGTTCCTTCAAATTATTGTTATTGCCTTGTGTTTTATCTTGGCATACCTATCCATGTAATTTTTTATCTTAAATTTAAGAAAATATTCCCAAGAAGGCACTGAATTCATAACACTCGTACATGTGGTGATTGTTGGTGATGTGTATTCCGGACCGTGAAGCTTGAAAGCCTACTTATATGCCACAATTATTAATATTCAAGTTGATTTTTAATGATGGAATTATAAAAAGTTGTTCAGAATCTTGCACGGACTGGTTTACAAATGGAATGATAAAGAAACAGTTCTCTTCAATCCAAACAAAAATATGGCACATGCTCATGAGAACATTTACTGCAGGTCTTTGACCATTTGTTGGAAAATGCCTTCCGCCAGCTGTCTGGTAAATTCTTCAGACCTGAGGCATCATCCTGTTATCACTCTGAATAGCTTGGTGAGGTTGCTGATGGCCTCTATTACTGCTTCCTCTGAGGCTCTGACCCTGAGGTGCTTTAGCAATAAGCATTTTGGACTTTAAAGGAGGGAGTGCATTTTCTGATCCCTTGTTTTCTTGGCAGGTGATTTATCGCTGCTTAGGGCCAGCGGCCCATCGGACAGCCTTGAGAAGACCGCCGCACGCTGTTTGCAGTCCGTCGACCTCCTGTCTTCAACGGACGGACGCCCTCGGTTCCACTCAGCAATTGACTGAAGCCTATCGCGCCGATATGCTCGGCTCATCTTCCATCCTCGCCCTGCCTGATTGTTTCGACGACCCGGGCTGTGGTCCCTGAGGTTCGGAACCCGTCTCGCTGGCCTGCCAGCAGGAGGCCTGGCGCTCGTCGCAGACGAGCGCTGCAGTGTGGCCAGTGAACCTGATGCTTCACTGGCCACACTGCTGGCACTGATACTGCACATCGCACAGCTCGTTATATAACAATCGAACACATGTGAGGCGTGATTTATTTGTAGATATTTGTAAACAGCCTTTAATTTTTGGCATTGATTCCTTGTGTGACGTCATGTTTTGTTCGCATGTGGCCATGCGGATAAGGCTACTGGCCAGTGGCCATAGCCTTATCCTTCTCGTTAAATTTGTTATCTGGAAATAAATGTCACCACTCACCATAAATGTGTTCTACATGGGCAATGACCAACTATTCTACTGTACATTTTACGGATGTCACATTTCATGGTGCTTCAGGATAGATAACACAAGCGTCGTACTTCTTTGTTACGTTGATGACGCACCTGTAACCGCAGGCAATAACAGCCGGACACAGGCTGACACGCGCTATTCACCGATGGGCATATGAACAGATGGGTGTCGTGATCGTGGGCATGGTACTGCCTAGACTCGGCAATAATTAGGGCATTTTTAATTCTCGCCGAACCTATCGGTTTTCTTCATCAGATGCCGTTTAGGGGGAGGGTAGATGGACTCTGCCCTCCCCGCCCCTCGCCATTTCGGACTAAATTGCGACATTTTAGGGCCGTGCAGAGGTTCACTTACGACGTCCCAAGTCAGTAACCTGACCTGACCTAATAATGTGGTCATGGATGAAGGAGAACCTGGATTGGAAACTAACAGCTGATTGCGTTCCCTTCGGTAAGTGCCCGAGGGCACGCGCGGCGGCAGCGGGAGCCGTGTCTGCCGCGCATTCACTGGCGCCGCGTAAGCGTTCACCGGCGCCGCGTAAGAGAAAAACACTAGAAATGGCCCTCTTTTTCAAGGTCGCCTGTATTCGGCCCTCGTGTACGACTTTTGTGCGGAACGGACAATAATAGTTTTGGTCTCATTCGATAGCCTGATCAATTTTGTCTGTCGTAAGTAATTTCTAAACCTAAAAATAGATCCGCATTGCGGTCTAATACCCGCTTCAAAACATGCCGCCCCGCGTCCCCCATAGGCCGTAATGCTTAACGGCGGGAGTTTCCAGTCCCGATACTTACCGAACGCTAGGTGGCAGGTCGATCGCCCGGAACGCTGCCCGTAATGTTGAAGGAATAGGAGTTTCCTATCCAGGTTCTTTCATCCATGATGTGGTCGTTGTGAAGATCCGTCTTTAATGTTCAAGTGCGCCAGCTTTCATCTCTATACCAGCGCCTCCGAGCAATTACCTTAAAAAAAAAACGTCGAGGGCGACACCCGAACCCCCTCTTCTCGGTGGCGAGGGCTAGGGGGTAGTGCTTATTAAAGGGACCCTCCCACCTTCAAAAAAGTTTATGAATTGGCATGAAAGTGATGTCGCTCGGTTCAGAAAGAGCGAAAACGAATATCTACCAAATTTCACCGAAAAATATTCACCGGTTTTCAAGATATTAGACTTTTACTTTTGTTTACTTTTTGGGATCTCCGCTGTTCCTAGCGACTTTATTTAAAAGTGCGGCATTTGTTGCGCGCAACGCAGCATATACCACCGCGTGCTACAAAACGTTTTAGTCAAACATTTAACGGACGTTCGAAAGCCTGATGACGTCATCAGATTCCCGTAATGGTTAAGAGATAGGGACCACGCTGGTCCCACCCTGCAAGTAAAGGGAAGAAATTTCTTGAACACCATAAAGCTGCGGGGGTTGCGACCAGGATAAATGGTGGTTTCTGAGCCTGGCCGCAAACTTGGCTATCTCAACTCAAAACTAATGTTAAGGTGGGAGGGTCCCTTTAAGGGAGAATGGCTGTGCTATTTGACTGTGCCATTCGAGCCCTACCAACACCTGTGATGAACCGACGCCCGGTGCGAAGGGAACATCGGCGTTCTCGGCCAGTAGCGGCGGAACACCTTCAATTAAGGGGGGGGGGGCACTGCCGACATTTAGTCCCATTCTAAATTCTTTCCATGCAACGCCCATAGGGCTAATGTAAAAATGTCAAAATCAAAGGGGGCACGGTGCCCCAGTGCCCTCCCCATTCCGCCGCCTATGTTCTCGGCAAAGTTGCCAATGATTTGCAAAGTTTGAATGATTCACTGCATAATGCCAAGTCCTTTTGGCTCCTGCGAGATATCGCTAGCGCGTTGATGAAGTTCAATATAGAGGTCACTAGCGTCGTGCCATGAAACCCAAGATTACTTTCATGAAACCTACGCAGCTAACGGATGGGGCTGCAGACAAAAGTACGCCAAAAGTACGTCGTGACCGTGGTCTCCGCTGCTAAGCGACAATCAAAAGGGACATTGCTCAGCTTGTTTGGCGCACGTGTGACAGCGGCGCGGGGCACGCCCAAATCGGCCGCGCCTTCGCTGCGGTTGGCCCACAGCGACCGCACGAACTCTGCGGTTATAACAGCAGCCTACGTCACACACTGCTGGCGCGACTCGAGCTCCTATTGGACAAATTCACGTGGTCTCCGTTGCTAGGCAACAATCTCGTCCATCAGCCAGTGTATGGATGGTGGCAGTGGTTTTGTAGTGTCGGTAACTTTTTTGTCTGCGTTTTAGATCACTTTGTAGCCCCATTAAAAGAAGAAATATCTCACTTTTGTGGTTGCCCTTAGTAAGCGCACGGCAGCCTACGTCAGCAGCCTGCGTGCGTTTCTCGGCCTCTCATTGGTCAACAGCACAGTCCTATCTCTTCAACACAGTAGCCACCTAGTGGGCTGTTGGGGAAGCTGTTTTGACAGCAGCGGGCGAACAGAGCTCCGGTCAGCGGAGCGGGCGGCCGGGCGGGGAGTCAGGCGTGGGCCCTGACCGACGACGGAGCGGCGCGGTGCAGGGCGTGTGAGACCAATACATCAGCACCGGTGACCTGTTGGTGTTGGAGCACGGTGGTGGGAGGCGAATCTCAACATTGGCGCGGTCGGTAGGACACCAAGGAACCAGGTCCGCCTCGCCGTGGATGCCACACCAAGCTACGCGCCTGCTCACAGATGAGAAAATTCCCGAGAGGAATTATAGCGCTTAAATTTGTACATATTCTTTTACATCGTACTGTTGAAACATCCGGCGTGTTACCGCTTGTTTAGCCGTGCTTCCCTGCGGGCATTGTTCCTTTTTCAACTGTGTGTCCTGACACGTTGAAGTATTCGGCGTTTGCCCGTAACTTCAGCGGTGTCCCGATCCTGACCGGGCATGGATCCCAAAATACTAATTTTGTCTAAGGCTAAGCCATTTTCTGGAGCACAGGGGCAGAATTGGAATCAATGGGTGAGCCGGTTCGAAGCCCAAACCGCTTCGTTTTCCGATGCAGACCGCATCCAGTGCCTCGTGGCGCTCCTCGAGGAGAGGGCGCTAGACTCGTACGCCTCGTTTCCCGATAAGACTAAAACCAGCTATTCAGGAACCAAGGCGGCCCTGGCAGCGCGCTACGGGTCAGATGTCGGAATTCTCCAGGCCCAGGCAGAGCTGGCAGGAGTCATGCACGGGCCTGGCGAGTCCGTGGTCGACTTCGCCGACAGGATCCGTTTGCTGGGCCGCGCCGCATATCCACGTGCCGGCGAGACCGACGCATCCGTCCAAACGATTTTGGCAAGTCGGTTCTTGTGTGGACTGCACGATGAACGTCTGCAGGGCCAATTATGTGGCGAGGATCTGCACACGTTGCAGGCTGTGGCTGACAAAGCGTGTGCCGTACACAAACGTCAGGCGACTGTCAGTGCGATGAGGCAGGCCACAGCCGGGGTGCGGTCAGTGGCAGCGGCCGCCCAGCTAGCGGATGGCCACGTTGCCGTCAGTCGGCCTCCGGGGGGAGGGGTAATTCCGGCGGCAGGGAGGAGCGGCGTGAGCCCGCCCTACCTCGCGCCGGGAACCGTTCCCCCGGGGATGTTGCCCAAACGTGTGCTGGGGCGGACGGGCTCGGTCGGGGTGTTCCGGCGGCGGGGAGGAGCGGCGTGTGCCCGTCCTACCTCGCGCCGGGGACCGCACACTGGGCCGGGGGCCCGGAAAAGTGCTAGAAATTATCTGTGATTGAGTTGTTGATCTCAGTGACAAGCAAACATACTAAAAACGAAGTGGGGTTGCTTAACCCTCGCCGGACCTATTGTCGGACCCCCCATCCCCTCGGCCGGCCGAGGGGGGAGGGTTGGTACGACCCCTTTTCGCCGTTTCGCCCCTAATGGAGCTAGAGCCTCGCGGAAAAACAAGCGTGTGCGCCGTTTCAAGACGGAACGATTGATACCCGATTTTAAGGTCCCAGGTAAACCGGTAACCTCTGTGGTGAAGTCAAAAAGCCCAAGGTAGGGTTTGGTTTTTGGTAAATAATTTCGCAAAAAATGGCCGCAGAGCAGCAATTTTGGCACCATCGTGTTCGCCTGGCTCAGGCGCGTCGAATGGTATACTTTTTGTCCGGGTGAGATCAACTTAAGGTGTTGACCTCGAGTCAAGGTCAGGTCAGAGCCCATCAGGCCACGAACTTAATCGAAGGAAGTCGTATTGCAATGCATATCATTCGATTCGGGAGGTCTTTTCGAGTCCATTGGTGGCTTTCCCGAGTCGCTGGCTCAATTTGATCATGAGTTATTGACGAGAAACTCCTATGACCGTAGTGACGTCATAAATGACGTCACGGAAGGTCAAAAATGCAAAAGTAAAGCATCGGATCTTGAAAGGAGTGCATGAAATCACGATTCCGTGTGCTTGAGATAGTTTGAGATCATTCCATGCGCAAAAACAACAGTTTCCTTATTTCCCCATTAACTTTTAATGGTGAGGTCACGTGACCTCGAAGAGTAGCAGGCATTAGCAAAAATTGCGAGTGGGGCATGACAGAAAGATGATTAGTGGTTTGTATGGCATGGACATTTTTAGCGGCTCGAAATAACATTTCTCAAAAAGTCTAACTAAAGAGCAAGTTGTTGTTGATTATCACTGACTTGTGTTTGGGGGTTAATAATGACTGAATTTTTTAGTTTGGCCCAAAATTTTTGACAGCA